TACACTCGCCAGAGCTCACCAATGGACATGTTAAAACCACAACTGTTACAAATCATGTGATGTGCTGAAAGCCACCAATTAGATAAATGCAAATGTCACACTATGTTGCTTGCCGATCCGATTATATTGTCAAGGTAACAACACCACAACTTTCAGTCTTCCTGTCATCAAAATTAGCACATAGGTTTTTAGAGTCGGTGCTGTTTCTGAATTTTTTTAGTTCAAGGTGGGAGAGTAATGCATTTAGTATAGACTGGCATTGACACCAGAGCAACAGTGAAAATTGAAGACAATACTTGTAGATCATTATAAAGGGAAAGTGACATGATGTTGACAAATACAAAATAAATAAAAAGTTATCTACAAAAATTGAGACATACTCTATACTATTTAACTAAATGGAAGCTTCAGTGAAGTTGAAAATCACAATTAAAAATGTTATTCACTTTCAAAACTCTATCTAATCTCAATTCCTCCTACTTTGCACTATGTCTTCTGCCCCAAATCATCAAGAGTTTACCTGATCAACAACTGACTGGTAATAAGAGAAGAACTGAAAGACTTGCTGGATGCAGATTTTCAAAAGTCTGAGATATACATAAGACAAAGCTCAACTTGAATATAAATATAAAGAACAAATGCTGCTGCTGATCTGTCCTTTTGGAGAATAATAATGATTATTAATACTAAAGCCAAGATGTCTTGCAAGCATGTGTCTAACAGTAAGTTAACACAGAGTGTTCTGAATAAGCTGATTTGATTTTTGGTGACAATAAGTAGATTTAGTGAGCTTCTATTCATTTCTAATGAGAACAAAGATTAGATAAATGATTAAAACTTTAAGTTTGGGTTTACTGTAGTGAAACCACATTATTTCCCATTTCACAGGTGCCAAGAGAGACATGTTCAATTAAGGTTGCAGCCATTACTTCAGACAGTACATTACAGTCATTATAAACATGGTATGGAGAGAGTCTTTGCCTCGCAGGGAACAAAATGTCACATCATGTATATGGAGCTACAATCAGTAAAAGCACTCAGTGGCTAACTGACTGCTAAAGCAGGAAAGGGTGGATTACTTTCACTACGCACAAAAACATGTTATGTCTTATCAGTGTAAAGAGCTACATGCTAACTGCAGATGCCAGTAGGACAAACGTACAACTGCGGCCTCTAAAACTGAACCGGCTTTGAAACGTTAACGTCAGTGTTATTTAAAAACCATTGTATAGACGGTGGGAACGGTCATTAAATGTAATGTGTGTTAGCCGTGGATCAGCCTCAGTTTTCAGGCAGTGCAGGTGCACGGACAGTACACCATGACATGTATGGTTCACAACACACAGCACCTTTGCCGCCGTTAACAGCTGGTTTGGTTAGTTAACGCCTGCAGCTAGCTAGCTGCGGCAACTAACGTTCAGTTAGCCTACAAGGCGATCCGCCCAGACAGCGGTGAAGGCCTCGTCCACAGCCCGCTACGCTGAGGCCTCATTATTCGGTCGGGCCTGACATTATACTTGTCCAGAAAAGCTTAGCTACACAACTGGTGAATTTAAGCACACACAGAAATCGGATGATGCTTAAGGTCGTGATCGATTTAACATCCCTTCTCCAGACGTTATTGTTGCCCAACCAGGCTGAGCATCGACCGTGCTAACGAGAAGCAATCCAGATAAACAGTGGTCGTTATGTAGCCGCTAGCTTACGTGCGGCTGAGCAGCCGAAGGTACATTGAGCTAACGTTTCTATTTTGACAAGCGGCTGGTTGATGTGACTCGACAACTAATTAGTTTTCTCCTCTATAAAACCAACAGTCCGCTGTTAAGCTTCACATCGTTTAGCTGTCATCACAACGTTCGGGATAAGTTAACGCAGCTAGCCGTCTTAGATAACCATCAATATGTAAGTGACAGGGGAGTCGTCTATTTCCTGAAATGTAACAGAGTGTTCCAACCTGCATCGACTAACGCTAACTTATAACTTAGCTCAAACAAACTGAAAATAAAATATCGGAAGCCCGGTGGAAACAAAATGTTAACAGGAATGTATATTAGGCAAAGCGAATATTAGTGAAATATTAAAAATGGTTGCAGAGGGGCAAGTAAATTTCAATAACTTGTAAACATACCAGGTTAAAAGGAAATGTTCCTCCTCTGTCTGTAGACAGTGCCGAGGACAATCTGCGGGTAGCTAGCGCTAGCTTGGCTTCATGGAATGTAGCAAGGGTGAGCTAATGAAACCGCACGTACTGCTAATATCGCGAAATGCAGTTTAGTAGCACTGACATTGTCCAAGACCCGGTGAACAACAGCCAACGGAGAAAAACCCACCAACGGCTGAATTTCACAAGGAACCCAGACGCAGTTATGTTACCTTGCATCCAGCACCAGCTGACGCTAGCGGTAGCCAGCTAACAATCAGCAGGCAGCGCACCGAGCTAGTTAGCTAACAACTCACCAGGAATTTGATATGACTTCCCCCTCTATCCACGGGCTCCGTCCAGCCTTCAACGATGGTGTCGTCGTATATTACATAAACGTGGCCCGTATCGGTGACAGTTTCGCAGGACACAAAGCTGTTACCAGAAAGGTCTAATTCCTACGGTTTTTCCCTCTGCTTCTGGGTGTTTTTCCTGCGTCACCGGCGCGGTAACAGCCCCCCTAACTCTGTCTAGTCCGATTTCTAGGGCTTGTCACTTCGGTCCCAGCAGTCACTCACAACTTGACTCGGTTCAACATGGCGGAAGCGCAGTCGGACACAGATGCGGCTCAGTAAAAGCGGGACACGCGACTGTGTTGAACTCCGGCGCGCTGCGTTTGTCGCTGAGCTCGTTTGCACCGCGACCGAGCGCAGTTGTGAAAACACAACGGCCGCTGAATGGAAAAGGATTAAACCCCTGAATTCCGATAAGTGACTCCGGCTCCAGCGGACCGTCCACATCCGTAGTTTGGTTAAATCCAGGAGGAGAAAAGACTTGAGCGACCTGACGCACCTGGTTATATCGCCCCCTGTCGCCCGGGGTGGTCATAAAATACATGGGCTATATTTTATATAGATATTAAAAACACACAATAAGTACATAAGTATTTACAAAATGATTTCAAATTGTAGTACTTGTAAGGAAGGATCAACTATATTGAACCTCATGTAAAACATTTTACTGTAGCAAATCTTATAAAATAAAGATAGGTAAGGTATTCTGACCTCATGGGTTGCGACATCCCCTCAAATAATAATACAATTGGTAAAAAAATTATATTTCATATTATGATCCCACAGGTAGGTTTACCCTCCCGACACAATTTTTTTGTATCTCAATTTTAACTAAATCGAAACTTTTGGGGGATTTAAAATTGTATAAAATGTACAACGTTTTACACAACAAAATTGTATAGAAGAAATAAATAGTTTGTTCAGTAACAGACCAGCAAAGCCTTATATTAGTCTTAAATTTCCAGATTTCCTGCCCCATCATTTACACTAGACATGTTTACACGAACAACAATATTCCAATATTAACCAGATTAGGACAATAGTCTGAAGAAAGCACTATATGTGAAATAAGATCAGACTTGGAATAAGCAATAATCGTACAACCATATGGAGTATTCCAATCTTAGGTAGACATGCATATGTTTCACAGCATTTTGCAGTATCGAGTTACCAACTGCTTGATGACACACGCCTTAGGTTCATGTTCAAACAAGCAGTAGGACTGAATGTTGGTGTGTCATAATCAGACCCTGCTCTGTAACATATAAATCAATATCAATAATCAATAATTGAAATTAAGACTGCTATTCACACAAGACACGGAACATTAAATCTTGAATTGACAGCAAGCCAAATTTGTACAAAAATATGGTTTAAAGACAGACGCGAAAATGTTGAACCTATCCTTACCTAATCTGTTTGGGGGTTGCAGGGAAGGCCCCGTGCTCAACTCTCTCTTTGTACATTGTATACATTAGACCTGGAATATTTCATAGTCCCAAATCTGCTCTGTGTTAAATTGAACCCAGTATATTAAATGATTAGCTGTAATAATGGTGGTCTTGCTCCTACATTTAGATATAAGGCTTTTACACTGTGGCCCTTGACATGTCAGCTGATATTGTGCGCCTTCCCATATCACTTACAGTTATGATAGTCAAATTACCAGTCGCCACACAGTGAGCTTGGGGTTTTGAGGACTTTGGAACTTTGAGGTTTTAAATAGAGTTTGAGGACCAGGGCAGTTGGCTGCTTTGCCCCAGTGGTAGTTCAGCCAACGGGTTATGCTAAGGACATGTGGTATTTGTACCTATGTAGGGTAAGGCTTCAGGTGACTATCTGTGTATAGTAAATGGCTTTGGATAAGCATCAACCAAGTGGTTAAAATAAAGGGACTCATCATTCACTTGTTAAGTTGCTCAGTAGAGACTAACTTTTTATTCAAAATACTATACAGCATTACAGTAAATACAAACTAACTTAAAATGTTTGGTTTCAGTTGAGGATGTGGACAGGTGGTTAAGTATTTTCTATACAAAAAAAGATGGTATTTATGAATTAGGGCTTGAAAGGGTACAATTTAATTTATAACCACTGACAGCATGGGGGTGGTGGCAATGTTTTGATCTAATTTAAAGAAACAATAAAACCTCTCTATGATGCAAGCGCCACAAATATTAAATCCCCTACAATTACCATACACTTTAATCAACAACAACTGAACATTATAACCCTCACGTATTGGATTTTTATTATGAAAATGAGAGAGAGGGAGATAAGGCCTACTACAATACGGTTCTACTACACCACATATACACTCATAGGGGTAATTTCTTTGAGTAACATTTAAATAAATATATAGATAATAATTTAAAAAAAGTAGCAGACTGACATAAACTAAGCCAGTGAACACATTTGACTGTGATAACAAACCTGAGATGACATTTAACAAATATTTCACTAACCCTCCTCAGCCTGATGTTAAAGCTCCTCGCCCCTCAGGGCTCCGGTCCGGGTTTTCTCTCCCACCGGATCTATGGTAATCGCCCTCGACAGCAAAGATGGCGGCCGAGCGGCGTTGAGTCTTGTCCGTTATGATTCACCTCCTTCGTTGTATGCGTTGACTTTTCTGCTGCGCCGCGAAACCGAGCCCCTGCCGAGGAACACACAAAATGTTGTGAGGCCTCGAAGAAAACGTTTTTTCGCCCGGAGTGAATCCACCACAGCCCGACAGGTTTCCCCCCCCGCTGCAGCGCTGGGCGTGCGCCTCCGTAGCTAACTCGTCTGTAGCGTCATTGTAAAATGGCTCCGGTGCAGATCGGGTCAGACGGGCAGCTCGTCCCGCTCGGAGGTCCGGTGGTGTCGGGTCCGCAGCCGCCGCCACCCGGGACCCCGGCCACGCACGGCATCCGACTGAGCCTGCTGATCGAGTTCCTCCTCCAGAGGACCTACCATGAAATCACCCTGCTGGCGGAGCTGTAAGTAGCATGTTAGCATCCTAGGCCTCTGGGCTAACTAGGGTAGCTGGCGGGCTAATGAGCTAACGTCAGTGAGCCCGGAGGATGCTAATGATCCCGACACCAAAACAAACCGTGACGGGACAAAAGTGCTTATTTGTGGGGGTGGTCGTGAAGTTAGAAGAGCCCGTTCACATGGGTGGTGTTTTCACAGCAGATAGCACAAGTAGCTAATGTGATGTGAGGGGGTGCACAGGTAAACAACACATCCTAGCTCCTAAAGTCAGAGGTAGCTAATGGTCTTAAGTCCCAGGTTAAGTGGTTTTGTTGGGTTGTTTATATGTGAGACACCAGATTCATTGCATTTGTCTGCTCTACAAAATCCAAAGCTAGTTTTTCTCCCTGCTGCAAACTGACTTACAATCTATTCAGACTCATTACATGGATGTTTATTCAGATTAGTAATATGTTGGGTTAATCATCTACTTTGAGGATAATGGCAGTAACTCAGTTGTTTACACTTTCTGTTTTTCACAGACTTCCCAGAAAAACTGACATGGAGAGGTATGTGTCTTCAAATCTGATCCTGAAAGTCCTTAAATGCTCACTCCTGTTGTCACTCATTCTGACAAGCTTCTGTTTATGTTCGTTTTGTCATGGTTGTTTTTAGGAAAATTGAGATTGTGCAGTTCGCCAGTCGAACCAGGCAGTTATTTGTGCGTCTACTTTCCCTGGTGAAGTGGGCGAGCAATGCAGGGAAAGTTGAGAAGTGTGCGGTATGTTGTTTTTATTTATTCTTCATTCATCACATCTTCAGGAAAGATGAGTTTTGCCAATATGTTGTGTTTACAAGAGAGACAGAGCACATTGCAAATATACTTACTTTTCTCCCATATTGGTAACAGATGATCTCCAGCTTTCTGGATCAGCAGACCATCTTGTTTGTGGACACAGCTGATAGGCTGGCATCACTGGCCAGAGATGCACTGGTTCATGCACGATTGCCCAGCTTCGCTATCCCTTTTGCCATCGATGTGCTCACCACAGGGTCATACCCACGCTTGCCCACATGCATACGAGTAAGTTTGTTTAAATTCTATGATTCTTGATAAAGAGTCATTCAGGAAAAGATGTTGGGAGATCAAAATTCACACCTGAGTTCTATATTTGTGTTCATTTGTGTAGGATAAGATCATTCCTCCAGACCCCATTACTAAAGTTGAGAAACAGACCACTCTGAACCAGCTTAATCAGATTCTCCGACACCGCCTTGTCACCACAGACTTACCACCACAGCTAGCAAACCTCACAGTCGGTAAGCAACTTATGTGACCTGTCAATGGTATATTTTGACCACTAGCCATTATTATAAGTGCACTGGAAAGGAGGAGATCTTATGATTATGATTGTGTCTTTATTTGTGTAGCTAATGGGCGTGTTAAGTTTCGTGTGGAAGGAGAGTTTGAAGCTACTTTGACCGTGATGGGAGACGACCCAGATATTCCCTGGAGGCTGCTGAAGCTGGAGATTCTAGTGGAGGACAAAGAAACTGGAGGTAAGCCACACATTCACAGTGAGTACCATAGACAAGCAAATAGAAAGTAAACTTCATTTCTGACATTTTTCCTTTCACTCAATTGGTTTGTCTGTCACCTCAATGCCACGCTCCATTTATTCCCTCTCCCCGTCCATATTGACAGATGGCCGAGCCCTGGTCCACAGTTTGCAGGTGAACTTCATCCATGAGTTGGTCCAGGCCCGTCTTTGTGCTGATGAAAAACCGCTGCAGGACATGTACAACTGCTTGCGTATCCTTTCTTTGTCTGGATACATACACATGAATTTTGTGTATGTCTTGCCTGCAACCATTTGGCTTTTGTCCCAGTCTGCGAACTACTGCAGTAGCGTAGGGGTGTGTGTGTATCAGAGCATATACCAGAGTATTGACTGGTCAAGCAGACGAGTGCAGCATTTCAATAAGAAACACAGCTGCAGAATTGCATCCTTCTTAACCTTCTTTTTTATAATTATATCCTACAATTTTTTCACTGAGCCTGTCACACAGCTAGGTTATGTGAGATGTAATGAAGTCCTTGTGGAGATGAGAACACCTGTTGATATTTTACTTAGACATTTATGTTTTTCATGTGTCCTCGCTGCAGCAAAATCACATTTTCTATGCAAATGTACCATCATATCACCTAACATTTGTTAGAAGACTGTCAGGCAGTGATAACCACTCTTCACACTGTTGTAATCCATCCATATAAGAAGAAAGTAGCAGATTTGTTCTGATCAGACAGTCAGAGGCCTTGCACTCATCAGTCTGTGGTAAAATATATAGACAAACAACAGCTTGTTAGCGTTCATGCTAACATCAAAGGCCCTAATCAAGCATGCAAGCTGAGCACAACCCCGCTAATCACAATGCTAATCAGCGCTCGGCTCTGCCTCTCCCCCACCAATGCTAGCAGTGCAGTGTAATGTGTCAAAGAGCGGTCTGTGTGGGGCACAATTAGCCCTTTTACCAAGAAAGTGTATGTGTCTCAAGGATATGTGTGTGAGTGTGTTGTGAATATTAATGGGAAGATGTGTCTACTTTTATCTCTGTTCACCTGGACGCTGTTTTCTTTAACCACACTGTTTCCAGACTCCTTCTGTCTGTCACTGCAGCTAGAGGTGCTTCACTCTCAGACTCTGATGCTGATCAGAGAGCGATGGGGAGACCTTGTGCAGGAGGAGAGATATATGCCCGCAAAATACCTCACACTCACCGTCTGGAAGTAAGACACAAATTGCAGCACATTAATAGACGTGTACACATATGTTCAGTTTTATACTTGTCTTTTGAATACTTATGCTTGCACTGATACAATGTTTTCAAAAAACGTACCAGAATGTATAGAGTGACTGGTAGTAACCCTTCGTTTTCTTTCTTCAGCCAACAGGTTCTGGGTAGGAAAACAGGCACGGCATCAGTACATAAAGTCACCATCAGAATCGACGAGTCAGATGGATCTAAGCCATTGCAAATCTCTCATGAACCTCCTCTCCCTGCCTGTGACCCCAAGTTAATGGAGAGAGCTATGAAGGTGAAGTGGACATTAATGTAAAAGTCAGTTTGGCTTATTATTCAAACAGCTCATCTTTTGAATGACGTTGGTTTTCTTTCACTCATTCTCTAGATTGACCATCTGTCTGTGGAGAAACTCTTGATTGACAGTGTGCATGCACGCTCTAATCAGAAGCTACAGGAACTGAAGGCCATTCTAAAGGCCAGCAATCCCAGTGACAACTGTATGTATTAACCTTCTCCTCTCACTATTAAACATATTTTTAGGTATTTTAGCAAAACCATGGAAACAATATTTCAACAGCTGCAACCATGTGCCAATTAGTGAAACAATGGAAAAAAAGGTCAATTTTTTAGAGTTGGTTAATGGACTTCAAATATGGGTTTGACCCATCTGCTGTATTATAGATGCTTACAAGTGTGTGTTTCTTTCAGCATTCATCGAGACTGCTTTACCCACACTCGTAATTCCGATACTGGAGCCCTGTGGTCGTTCAGAGTGCTTACACATCTTTGTAGACCTACACTCTGGCATGTTCCAGCCCATGTTGTATGGACTTGGTAAGTAGGTGCAAATATTAAGTCAGAGGAGTTTGTTTTTGCTTTACTGTAAAGGAATTAATCAATTTAGCTGGTGATTAGTTAGAATGTTTTCTAGTCTTATGATTCAACCGCCACTAATGCAACTGCGACTGTTTTGCTTGCTCAGCTCATAAAACTGTGCTCTCTCTAAAGATCAGTCCATGCTGGATGACATTGAAAAGACCATCAACGACGACATGAAGCGCATCATTTCTTGGCTGCAACAGCTGAAGTAAGTTCACTTTCCCACACAGAATATTATATATTCACTGTTAACGTTCTTAGCTGGTGAAAGTGGTAGCAGTTTGGAAAACAGCAGTGGTTGAGAGCAAACTGTCAAAAGTAGGAGCCACAGTCTGACACCAGATTATAACTCATCAAACGAACTAACTGCAGTCAGTAGCAGGAGCCGTGAGAAGCAACACTTGGCTAAGCAGGTGGCAAGATAGCTGTTGAGATGAATTGCCAGGGCAGCACTGGCAGTACTGTGTGCATTAGTATAATCTATGAACCCTGGACTTTTTACAGTTTGACTTTAATTACTCTTCCTTGCTCTGGCCAGGTTCTGGTTGGGAGAGCAGCGCTGTCGACAGTCTGTGAAGCACCTTCCGACTGTGTGTACTGATGTCCTCCACCTCTCCAACTCCGCCTCTCACCCTGTTGGGAACTTGTCCAAACACAAACTCTTCATAAAGCTCACACGTCTTCCGCAGTACTACATTGTGAGTTCATAACCAAATATATTACTGAAAAAAGCTGAACTAAAATAACTTGAAGGAAATTGCACAACAAAGATTATTATGTCACTCTCTCATTCACCATCTTGTTTCCTACTACCTGTCTCTTCTTTGTAGGTGGTGGAAATGCTTGAAGTGCCTAGTAGTCCCACAGCCTTGCAGTACAAGTACTCCTTCCTTTCTGTTTCTCAATTGGAAGGAGAGGATGGACCCATGTGCGCTCAACTACTGCAGCATTTCAAGCCCAACCTAGAACACCTTGTCCAGGACGCTTCAGCAGGGAAAGTGGCCCGACCTGGGACTAAGAGAAAGGTAGTCATACAAATGGTTTTTCATCATAATTAATGTTTTGTTGTTGTTTTTTAATCTGTATGGTGTTTGTTTAGCTGTTCATTTAAGACAGTTCTGACCAGTTAAGAAAATGTGGATGGTAAAAGTGAATAATAATGCTATGTATGACAAAGACATATTTTACAATTATTACATTCAAAGGTTAATATTTCTGCCTAATATTATTACAAAATGCTCCAGCTCTGGTGTATCTCAGTGTGTATGAGTAGGACACATTCCTATAGCAATGCATCAACCCTCTATAAATATATCTGTCCTGCTGGATATGCAAAACCGTGTGCCCTTTCAATGTTTGTTTTTCATCTCTTGTTGCTCTGTAGACATCATGTGATCAGGGGGACCCAGAGCCAAAAAAGCCGAAGCGGTCCGGTGAAATGTGTGCCTTCAACAAGGAGCTGGCTCACCTGGTAGCGATGTGCGACACCAACATGCCTTTTATTGGCCTCAGAACAGAGGTAACTCACAGTGCAAATCATTCAGGCCGATCTGTAAACATGTCCCGCTTTAAACCCATCAAGTATGGCAATCACAGTCATGTGTTTTCTGGGTAATTCTGCATGTCTCTGTCTGTCTGTGTTTGATTAGCTGTCCAACATGGAAATTCCAAACCAGGGTGTCCAAGTGGAGGGAGACAGCAGCAGTCATGCAATACGTCTGCTAAAGTAATACTCACAGCCACTTTCATTTCATTCAAGTATGATAAACTTTGTCGCAATCATTGTGACTATAAAATGTTGGTTTTATTCTGCAGGATTCCTCCATGTAAAGGAGTAGGTGAGGAGACCAGGAGAGCTTTAGAGCGTTCCCTACTGGACTGCACCTTCCGACTGCAGGGCAGGAACAACCGCACCTGGGTGGCTGAACTGATGCTGGCAAACTGTCCTCTCAACAGCACACACAGCAAGGAGCAAGGTATACAACACCTACACACAATTCTTTTACCTTAATTAATTTACCCTAAGTGTCCTAAGAACATGTGTCAGATTACAAGCTAAATAATAAAAAGTACATGTATGTTTAAGATCCAATAGTAATCACCCTGCATTGATGTTAATAGATGAGTCATGAGTTTTTCATAACATATGGCTTAATGTTAATAAAGGAAGTCTGCATCCTCCTCTAATTGAACCCATCTGTTCCCCCTTTAGCGTCAACACGGCACGTATATCTGACCTATGAAAACCCTCTGTCGGAGCCGGTGGGTGGACGGAAGGTTGTAGAGATGTTCCTGAATGACTGGAATGCCATCAGTCAGCTCTACCAGTGTGTTCTCAACTTTGCTCGGGCCCTGCCAGGTATAAGCTTGCTCATCTGAAAAGCAGATTACACTTACATTCAAATCAATGACTGTGTTGTCCTTGTATCAGTCAGTTCATCTGAAACCGTCCAGTATGTTACTGTTGTTTAAAACAAACATTGTCATATTGATCATGTTTAATTTTTCAGTTTGCAATACTCCATGTGTAATCCCAGGCCGTGTGTCACTAGTGCTGACTTAGTTCTTGGCTTAAGAAACACATCTAATGCAGCTGCATGTTGTGACTGCCTTCTTCCAGAGATGCCATCTTACCTGAGCCTGTTTTCAGAGGTGCGGCTGTATAACTACCGTAAGCTGGTGCTGTGTTATGGCACCACCAAAGGCAGCTCTGTCACCATCCAGTGGAACTCCAGCAGCCAACGTTTCCACCTTGCCCTGGGCACCGTGGGACCCAACTCTGGCTGCTCAAACTGCCACAATATCATCCTCCATCAGCTACAGGAGATGTTCAACAAGAGCCCCAATGTGATGCAGCTGCTGCAGGTGCAGAAGCAAGAATTTGTTAGATCTGGATCAACTCATTTTCACAAGTTTCACATTCTTTTCTTCTCTCTTCACGCTGCTTCCAAAAATTGTGTATCTGTACTTTTTCCTGTGTAACTTTCTGACCATATTTCTATTTGATTGTCCTCCTCAGGTACTTTCTGACACGCTGGCCCCTCTGAATGCAATCAACAAGCTACCAACAGTGCCCATGCTGGGCCTGACCCAGCGCACCAACACTGCCTACCAGTGCTTCTCCATTCTACCCCAGTCACCCACACACATCCGCCTGGCGTTCCGAAACATGTACTGCATCGACATCTACTGCCGCAGCCGCGGAGTGGTGGCAATCAGAGATGGAGCCTACAGTCTCTTTGACAACACTAAGATTGTAGAGGGCTTCTACCCGGCTCCAGGACTCAAGGTATAACAAGCTCAGAGATATAGTCTCTCTATCTATTCTCTTTCTTATTAAAGACTACAATTAGATCCCAACAGTAAATCTAATGAAGATATTCAGTTTGATGTGTATTAGTTGCAGTGTTTTACATCAACCACCGTCCTTCCACTCTTTCCCTTTTTGTAGACATTCCTGAACATGTTTGTAGACAGCAATCAGGATGCTCGCAGACGCTCCGTCAACGAAGACGATAACCCGCCCTCGCCAGTCGGTGCGGACGTGATGGACAGTCTAATGAACCAGCTGCAAGCTCAGCAGCAGCAGCCACAGACGATGAGAGGGGGTGCAGGAGGTGTTTATCCTCCTCTCACGTCACCGCCACCAAATTACCATGCTAACGTAACTCCTTCACCATCCATGATGCCCACACAGTCACCAGGTAATGGTACTTGATGTTTGTGTGTGTGTGAGTGAGTGTGTGAGAAAGAACGCGTGACATTGTGTTTGTGTCATCTTGGCTTCTCATGCTGCCATAGAGCGTTATGACCAACAAACCATTGTTTTGGTATATTTCACATTACTGTCACCAACCTTTCTGTTGACTGGAGCTTTTGTTGTGTGTATGTCAGAGAGAATGAGGAAGCGCAACCATGTGTGCCCATTTTAAGTTTTGGTGAAACCATGAGATCTGTTGTGTTCTTCATGCAACATGCACTCACTGTGCAGCCGAGAGGAAACAAAGCATGCATTCAGTCCTGCTCCTTCCATTCCTCGCCATCTCAGCCTGCCAGCCAGAGACTTCGGCCCTTCCGCCCAGCTCTAGCGTGTGTGTGCGTTAGCGTGTGTGTTAGCGTGTGTGTGTGTGAGGAGAACTTGTCAACCTCTGAGTCTGACGAGCCCTTTGGTGTGTGCATGTGTGTGTATGCAGGGAACATCCATGCCTCTGGCTCCCCTAGTGGGGCTCTGAGGGCACCCTCTCCTTTTGGGCCCACCCCGTCTCCATCTTCCCTGGGCATAGCCATGAGCCAGACCAGCTTTGCGAGTCCCCACGGTAAGCAGGAAGGTGTCCTTTAATGCTGGCCCGGTGGAAATGTTGGTCTTCTGGGCAAGGGCTGGAATGGGCTGATCTTAATAAGACACTAGGCTGCAAACATATCACAAATAGCCTGTAGGTTGCGGGCATACAGTGGGCACACAGTGGTGTATTTGTCTGACTGTATCGCTGATGGCTATCTCTGGTTGAACCTAGGCGCTCTGGACCCCAGCTCTCCATATGCCATGGTTTCTCCCAGCCATAGGGGTCAGTGGCCAGGTTCCCCCCAGGTCTCAGGGCCCTCTCCTGGAGCAAGGATCCATGGAATGTCTCCTGGTAACCCGTCGCTGCACTCGCCAATCCCTGATCCTCATTCTCCACGTGCTGCGACCAGTAAGTTCTACTTTCTCAGTGTTGCGTCATATTTTTAAAAACTTTAACCAGTTCAGTTACTACCCACAACATGCTGTTTACTCATTATTATGTCAATCTTTTTTTTAGGTTCACAAGTCATGCCTACCAGTATGCCTCCACCCCGCAAGCTACCTCAGCGCCCCTGGGCTGCCTCCATTCCTACCATTCTCACCCACAATGCCTTGCATGTGCTTCTGCTACCCTCACCCACGCCCTGCCTGGTGCCAGGCCTGGCAGGGAGCTACCTCTGCTCACCGCTGGAGCGCTTCCTGGGTTCAGTGATCATGAGACGACACCTGCAGAGGATTATCCAGCAGGAAGCCAACGTGAGTGTCGCCATTTGAGGATTGTTTGTTGCTCTATATATTTCTTTATCTGTTCGACTCTCTTCTCACTTCTACTCTTTCAATTCTCCTCCAGTTGTCCATTGTGAACTCCAATGAGCCTGGAGTGATCATGTTCAAGACGGATGTGCTCAAGTGCCGGGTTGCTCTCAACCCAAAGAACTACCAAACACTGCAGCTCAAAGTCACTCCAGAAAACACAGGTCCCTGGTCCCAGGAGGAGCTTCAGGTGCTGGAGAAGTTCTTTGAGACACGGGTATGTGAAAGCAGCATGAACGTAAAGGTCAAATTCAGTAAATTCTTAAATTAAGTATATTCTTGCATAATATGAAAAGGTTATGTTAAAGTTATGTCTGTTAAGCTCTCAGTGATATCTGGTCCCCTTTGCTTTTGATTTTAAAATAATGATAAAATCTACTCCTTTACATTTGTATGACAGTCATTGTCTCACACTTTTAATTTTTTCATTCTTTTCTTTCTCTGTTGTCATCTTTTTAGGTTGCTGGTCCTCCCTTTAAATACAACACTCTGAATGCCTTCACAAAGCTGCTGGGGGCCCCGACTAACATCCTGCGGGACTGTGTGCGCATCATGAAGCTTGAATTGGTGGGCAGCAGTTTTTTATACTATAACTATATTAAGATTAGGTGCTTGTTTATTTATTTACTAAATAAATAAACGAGCACCCAATTATATATATATATAATTCACAAAATATATATATTTTGTGAATTTTATAATTAAAAATGTAAATATATGAATATGATGAAAATATATGGATGAAACGATGTCTGACTTTTGTTGTTGAACTGTACTGTTTACTACAGTTTGAAGTATTTTACCTTGTGTCTCTTTCCTCAGTACCCCGACCAGGCCGCTCAGCTGAAGTGGAACGTCCAGTTCTGTCTCACCATCCCTCCCAGTGCTCCTCCCATCGCTCCACCAGGGACCATTGCTGTGGTGCTCAAGTCCAAGATGCTCTTCTTTGTAAGTCTCAGCAACTAGCTCTCCAAAATCAGGACAGAGTTTATACACTTCTACCTGTGAAGCGTCATCTGAAATGCATTAACCAACCTTACCTCATGTCTGTTGTGGCTCACAGTTGCAGCTGACCCAGCGTATCCCAGTGTCTCAGGAGCCAGTGACCATTATTGTTCCCATTGTGTACGACATGGCCACAGGCCTCACTCAGCAGGCTGACATCCCCAGACAGCACAGCTCCTCTGGGGCTGCAGCACTCATGGTCTCTAGTATCCTGAAGAGGTTCAATGAGCTGCACCCGGCTAGACAGGGTGAGATGAGAGGCGAGACGTGCAGATAATGGACACTGAATGTGTAGAGCAGAAGTCATATCACATTGTATTTTATTTTTAAATTATTTTTCTCTCCTCACACTTACTGTCTTCTTTTCTTTCAGGTGAGTGTACAATATTCGCTTCTGTTCACGAGCTGATGGCCAACCTCACGCTGCCGCCTGGCACTCGTCAGTAGTAACAACAACCTCAGAAACTGCACTGCAACTCAACTGGAGTCCCTTTCAGACCACGTGGGGGGTCAATCCCTGAGCTGAAGATGAAACAGCTCAGAGTAACAATTATTGTCCCAACACGTCACAAACCCCAGCATGTGTCCTCTCTGCTTCAGCCACTGGACTGGACTTCTTTATTCCTGAGAGAAGCTTAGAAACAAGATTTGCTGTTCAGGTGGATCTCAGAAGAGGGTCCTGCAAAGGGATATAAATGTTATTTTTTTCCTCCAGGTGCACTTGTAAACAAGATTATCTATTGAAATTATTGTTGTTTACGAAAACATGTACATTATTGTATATTTGAGTGTTGAAACAAATCAGGTGAGTTAGGATTTTGCTAGAGCCTGTCTTCAGTTTTTCTTTTTTTACTACGCTATACTGATATTATTGTAGTATCAGATATATTCCTCAGCACACTATTTAAATGCTTTCTTGCCTTTACACTGTTGAGACCTCTGGATTTTTATTTCAAACTCTCCCTTTGGATACTGTAAAACTGTGACAAACTTTTTACGCCAGTTGTATTTTATTAAGATGCATTGTGAGTCTCAATTGAAACATTTGAGACTTCTTGTCTGACTTTGCTATTTAATAAACCAAGCCCACAGCTGGTTTGTGCTTTGAGGATCTTCCACTGGCAGAAGTACTAAAATAATTTGAACATTTATTCAGGCAAAATAAACATACACGATAAAAACATGCAAATACATTCATATTCTGCTTAAGCAAAAGTATTTCCCAAAAAGTTAGATGGAATAAAATCAAAAGTAAAACTTCTCCTGCACAATAAGCCCATTATGAGTGTTACATAACATTATTTCATGATTATTGTACCTCTGCCTTCCAACTGCTTTCAACACTCTGACTCTTCTCAGCACTTTCATTTCAGCTGCTCCACCGACGCAGACTCAAAATCATTCAGTGTCTATGTTTAAAATTAAAGTAAAACTTGGATTTATTGTGTAATGACACTTATACTTGGATTTATTATGAAATGTCACCATACAGTTGAAGACAATTTCCCATACAAATTTGTTAGTGACCTGCTCACTTAGATTTAACGTTTTTTTTGTACCAAAACTATTATTGATGCATTGACATGACATTCTGCCTCTATATGTTATTACAGGTTTTTGCAGTTTAATTTGTAACAAATTTCAATAATAACTGCATCATACTTAAACCGATCTTAATTCTTAAGAATTGTGAAATGATGCCAGAATAATTACGTGAAGAGTCGATTGAAAATTAATTGGGTAGTACTGTCATGTACAGTACAATCTTTTATAGTAAAACCTTTTGAAGAGTAGGATGAACCAATTCAATTTATGTCTGGATTTTAAAATTATTTTCTTTTACATTACAGAATATATATATATATATTTTAGTTTTCAGTGATTTCCCAGGGAAGAATTGATGGATCTTGATATTGACATTTAGAGGGACTGATATCTATATATTTGGTCCAGCTTCATTGAATTTAATGGGACTCTGTTCTAGTTCTCTTAGTGTGATTGCACACTGAATGTCTTTGGGGTTCTTTGTCAGACAAGTACAACATATTAATCCAGCATCCAGTTATTTTAGCATAGTTTAACTTGACAAAGGACTGAAAACCAGAGGAGGTTCCCGGCTCTGTCTGAAGGTAAGAAACACACCTCGCACCACTAAAGCTCAGTCTTTTCATGTGTGGATTTAACAAATAATACAGAATGTGGAGGTCAATGGGTTTTTATAAATAAAGAGTAATTGATGATTGATCAGTCCTGGAAATAAACGAATTGGAAAGTAGAGCACAGGATTTTTGCAGAATATGAAGAAGTTTAAAATAAAAATGCATGAGCATAATGACACTCAATTCAGAGTAATGGAGTAAATGACTGGAAAACACCTTCTGCTTTGAGGTGCATCCCACAGTGATGCTGCAGCTCATCCCAGAGACATGACATCATCGTGTGTGTGTCTGTGTGTGCTCGACTGTTGTTGCTAAGGGCGTGGGCATTGTGTCTGTCTGAGTGTGTCTGAGTGTGTGTGTGCTGTTATCTTCCTCCATGGATCCTCCTGCTTCAGCACCGGATCCGCTCATCACCACCTCCCGCATGGAGACGACAAATCACGGATGAGGAACCATCACCTCCCTTTTGCAGCCCGACACTTGAACGCGCCACACGGACAAAGACAGATCCGATCAGATGCATCTCGATGAATAAGTCAGACTTTTTTTTAACTTAGCCTCCACCACGGGCGTTCACCCTGCGCTCCCCGGGCTTCATATGGCTTTTTCCCCGCGGATCAGCTTCAGGTGAAGAGCTGTGATCCTCATCTGCTCCAGTCAGACATGGCAGCGCGCACATCGGAGCCGCTGTGTCAGCCCTGTGTTTACCACGAAGCTTTCAAAGGTAAGACACACTCATTATATCTGATTTTACTTTGAAATGTCTCCTGTTCGATTCCCCCATGGAGGGTGTGCGCCCCTGCAGACCCACTGACCACTCCCCTTCAGCCCCCCATCCACCAGCCCAACCTGGACCTGCAGGAGATATGACACATGCATTTTGTCTCATGCAGGGTGTGCTCTGTGTGTATTAATAGAAAGTGAGCGTGTGTCAGTCAGGTCCTGCAGAAGGTGCTGATGTGGATTTGCTTTGTGCCCAGTGGAGCTACAGGTGAGGAGACCCCTGATGCCCGTGCAGCTGGGTCCGGAGCAGGTGGGCCTGGAGATGCTGTGTCTCTGTGGGCAGCTGGACCTCCTCATCAGGGCACAGATGCAGCAGGTATAGAGTAACCTGACAATGAACGCATCAGCACCAACACTGCAGAGCTTACACCCACCTGATCCACTGTCTCCTCAGTTTGCACCAATTTCCATGTAACTGTGAAAGTAAACAAAATAATATTTTATCCAGTGCCTCTCGATGAACCAAAGCAGATAAACAGATATGTAGGAAGTAACTAATACTAGAGCCAGACTGATTTATCTATGAAAAAATGGATGCTATGAATCTTTCCAGTTCCACAAACCTTTTTATTATTTTACTCCCCAGGTGTGTATAATTTTGGGCACTTTTTCAGACAAAGACATTTTTTCGTATGGTGGTCACATGACATGCTTGGTGACGTCTCATCTGGAGAAAGGCCTGTGACTAAAACAATATTATCATAGTGGCTGGATTATCAATACAGTTCTAAGATTTGTAGTATTATTATTATCATCATCATCAGATAAATAGTATTTTTTTATAGGAGCCGCTCACAGACAGATCGGTATCAGGGTTCATGTTCATTTTACAGTTCAACCTTTTATTTTCTCAATTTAATTCATATATATTTAGTTATATTTGTGGTTTCTTTTTGTTATAGTAGGTTAAGTTTATAGTTGAAGTGTTAAAATATCAAGGCTCAGTTGCATTTCTTTGTCATTAGGGTTTGATATCGACAACTTAGGAATCATTGCCAATTTCTCCTTCAGTATATACTGTGTATCAGTTACATACATACATATGATTTCAGGTCCAGCTTGTGTCATCATCATTTCACATGATTCAGTACAGACGTCATTCTGTATCCTGTGGTTCACAGTGTGTGTGTCACAGTTCCAGGAGCAGTTGGGACAAGGCTGCAGTCCAGAGGAATCAGACACTTTCCAGGCTCAAGGTACAAAGAGTCACAGAGTTGATTTAAACATGGCTGCAGCTCCTGTATTTTAACTTCTGACAGTTTTTGTGCTTTACTCTTAAAGGATCTGAGATTCTTGACCAGATGCTGCAGTGCCTTGAACATCTACCAAAGCCTATGCCACAGCTGGAGGTATCACATCTGACCACATTCATTCTTTACTCAGACTAATTGTTGTGAGTCATTGTTACAAAACTTCCTGTTTCCTCTGTAATTATGAGCAAACAATACAATTCCTATATTGAAATTATTGAGTAAATTATAAGGAAATGACAAATAAATCATTACCAACAAGGATTTGGGTAATGTATAATTATTCCCCTCTGTTACCTCAGGACTACCTGGACATGGTGGGTCTGTCAGCCATGTTTCCTCGTGTAGAGGTGTTCCTCATTCAAGGCAGCCCCGTGGAAATGTTGGAGAGGCCGCCGATGGACGGTGAGAGAGGAGATACATCTCCATCCTGCAGCAACAGCAGAAAATCAGGAGTCTAACAAGAGCTCTTGATAAAGAAATAAGTCATCTTTTCATGCTCAACATGTCCATGTCAATATGCATGGATGGATTATCATGACTGTTGGCACAAACCTGCCACCCACATTAGTTATTTTTTAATTTCTGGACATTTACAAGAAGGACGGCTCAGATGAGTAAAATAAGATAAGATAATCCGTTAATAGTCAATGGGGACATTTGACAGAGTCAAAATAGGCATCAGTTAGTAATAAGTAACATGTAATACCTAAGTGTAAAGAATATAAAAAATATAGAAAAATATGAATTGATACAGATTCAACAGAATGTACAACATGTGATCTAATCTGCAGATTACAAAACATTCAAACAAACTAAAACAAATAATATAATCTATAATCCGTCATTGGCTCTATCCGTGTTAGCTACATGATCAAAATGGTAGAATTCATGTCGGCTGATGCTTCTGTTGCAGATTACTTCTACCACATCGCCAAACTGAACCAGCTCTTGGTGCTGAGTCAGCAGCTGGAAGAAGATATCCGACACCTCGGAAGTCATAAATACATCGCCCACCAGCTCTCGGTCATATATGTGAGGAGATCGATTCATCTTCTCTTTTCCTTTATGCTTCCATTTTACCAAAAGCTGCTGTGTGATTTCCAAACCGTCTATTTTTCTGTTTCCGCAGCAAGTCATCAGCTCTTTCAGGGGAATTCAGGTCTTCTCTGAAATAAAGAAAGATATTGAGGCTAACTTCAAACAGATGAAACAGTCTCTGGTGAATGACGAAGGCTCCAGGCACGAGCCTCAGCTGGCTGCTCACTACATCAACTGGTGGGTCACAAAGCAAACGTTCGGCTGCTGGACAGGATGCTGGTGATTAGTGCAGGAGTCTTGATTACAACCACGTATTGTTCTCTTCGCAGGATATTAGAAATAACTCAGAGCTTAACGTCTGTGGTGCTGTCGCTCCCGGAGGAGTTGACGGACGACCTCCACCAGGCCGTGAGCTTCGTGTCCCAGCTCCTGTCCTGACTCACCGCGGGCCCCTGAATCTACGAGCCCTGACGTTCTGATGCAGCGTCTCTCCAGGAATACCCTGGCTCTGAATGAACTGATGATGTTTCGACTGTGAAGAGGTGCTACATGAGTGTGTTCAGCTAAATGATGGCAGGATTGGAAAGCCGACTTCATTTATAAATCGTCTAGGTTTTTATATTTCCTGCCTGAATGTGACTCGTGTATTAACATGTGGAGAGTCAGCTGTTTGGAAATGAATGTAAGCTTGAGGAATCCCTCCTTGCACTACTGTTAATAAAAACTACTGTTGTCATTTTTTAACATAAAGTGAAATAAAACGTATTAAATGCAATAGAAAAGTGTGTTTGTCTGTTGTGGGACATGATCATATTATTTCTGGGTTATTTTCATCATGGCACGTTGGTGCAGTGGGTTCTGGGTTTGAACCTGACAGCCGGCTGGGTCGTCTCTATGTACCTGTGATACTCCAGCTTCCTCAGACTGTGGGAGACTTAAAATACTCGTAGGAACGGTTACGAGCCTAAATAACCCAGGCTATGATTCAAACCCAGGGTCTGACATGTTTCTACTCTACTGAGGAAACAACACATGTTTATATTCTAATGAGGAAACAACACGTTGTTAGTGTTATTGTTTCTCTTCCACTTCCTCACGTACAGATGTTACTGATGTCTCCCACAGATGTGTCCTACCGATGTTTCCTACAGATGTTTTCCACAGAGGTGTCCTAGAGATGTCTCCTACAAATGCGTCCTAGAGATGTCTCCTACAGAAGTTTTCTACAGAAGTGTCCTACAGATATCTCCTACAAATGCGTCCTAGAGATGTCTCCTACAGATGTTTCTGTGAGATGTTACCTACAGATGTGTCCTACAGACGTTTCCTACAGAGGTGTCCTAGAGATGTCTCCTACAGATTTGTAGTAGAGATGTCTCCTACAGATGTTTCTGTGAGATGTTACCTACAGATGTCTCCCACAGAAGTTTTCTACAGATGTCTCCTACAGATGTTTCCTTGAAATGTTACCTACATATGTCTCCTACAGATGCGTCCTACAGATGTGTCCTAGAGATGTTACCTACAGATGTCTCCCACAGAAGTTTTCTACAGATGTGTCCTACAGATGCGTCCTAGAGATGTCTCCCACAGATGCGTCCTAGAGATGTCTCCTACAGATGTTTCCTGCTGTCTGGTGCGCACAATTAAAAAAAAAAAAAAAACCGTAGGCGGGACTTACCGGTGAGTGACGCGTCTGAACACCCAATCACACTCGCTCCCTCTGACGTCCCGGCCAATCAGCAGCGGTTAGGCTGTCCGGCCGCTTGACTGTGAGAGCTGCGGGGCTGAGGAGGAGGATTTCATGGAGCGAGTTGAAGTGTTTCAGGCTGACATGTTCCAGGGTTGAAGACAAGACTCCGGTGAAGGAGGCAGGAGGACGACAGCATGTGAAAGAGGTCAGTTTGAGACCCAGCGACCTGAGAGTTCATATTCAGAGTCAACCTGAGGACGAGTTCAGGAAATGACCGCTGACATTTCCCTTGTGCGTCAAAACACGTGTCAGCGGAACAAGCAGGAGTTTGATGTGTTTGCTCAGTGTTGTTGTTTCGTTAGTCACGATGAGAACCAGCTTCTTCTCTGCCGAAGTGTCCTCGAGCAACAAGCAGCTCCTCCCAGCGGCGGGGGCGTGTAACACAGCATGTGAACCGCCTGTCACTCAACAACAGTCTTATTATAATCTGACAGTGTAATCATCCTATTATCTTACTCTTCTTATGATTAGACGCAGACAGAACTACGTCATATTGATCAATCAAATATTTCCATAATCAAATAATTGTTTTAGTTATTCTGCTTAAGTGAAAATATCAAATAACCTTTGTTTGTTTGTAAACTCAATCAATCAATTACATTTTATTTGTATAGCCCATATTCACAAATCACAATTTGCCTCATAGGGTTTAACAAGGTGTGACATCCTCTGTTCTTAACACTCAACAAGAGTAGTGCAGTAGATTTCACGTGTAACCGAGTACATCAACAAAATAAAAGTGTCTACAACAGTTTGTAACATAATGAAAAAGTCTGTCAATGTTTAAAGTAGGAAATTATATCGGCTATATATTAAAAACAAAAACTGTGCTGCAATGATTCTTAATATGTTGTTATCCAAACCTTATGACACATAAATGGCTTGATACTGATTAAGTATCCATTATTGTAATCATACAATCTTTTTCTTTTAATCATAACTCTCAGACACTGATCATGTTTTATTCTCAGATGCAGAGAACCACACACACACACACCTGAGTCCTGTGCAAAGATCTGAGGAGTGAGATGATCCCTGAGTCCACAGCTGCAGCTGCATCCAGGTCATCAGAGCAGACGTGAGCATCTACAACACAAAATATGGACAAATTTACTCATCTCCTGACAGTGTGTCCCTGAATAATATAGTTTCTTTCTAACGTCATCTACTTTCATGTTTTTTTGTGATTCCCAGTAAGAAATCGCATGATGAGGCAAACTCCTCTGGTGCTGAGGACGAGTCGGGAAACGAGAACCAACAAAAGAACGTGGTACATGTTTTTGTACTGACGACAGATTCTTCAGCTCGCTAACTGTTGTAAGAAGAGCAGCAGTAGAAGAGCAGTTATATTGACAGAGGAGGGAGGTGCACATTAAGTAAAACACACACACACAATCCCATGATGCAATTAAGATGATCTGCATCGTTGTAGACCAAATTTAGATTTAGATTTCAAAAGCAAAATGGAAAATGTTTGATTTTAGCTTCTCCCATGTGAGATTTTTCTGCATTTCTTTCTCACTTGTTGCATTTTCAGAGAAGAAGGAAAAGAGCTCACACGGGCTCAGAGAATGTCAAACGCAAAACAGCCAAAGCCAGCTGCAGCAGCGTCGGCAGAGCCAGAGGCAGCCGCGGCAAACGGCGACACGTGGAGAACGTCACCCTGTTCGAGGTCATCACTATGGGCAGGAGTGCCATGCGGGTGAGATAACTTTCCTCTGTAGCCAACGAGGAAGTGTTTACAGCTGCTGAGTACAGACAGCACAAACAGAATCTAACAGCAATTTCAATGTGTTAACAGCATAACACATTGAAATTTCACAGGCAGTTGCATGCAAACAAAATTCACAGTTATAAAAACAGAAAGTGTCTTTACTTAAAAACACCTGAAGAAACCAGCTAGAACAAAACTGATTATTATCTCAAGATATTAGCATAAAGTCTCTGTGACTCACTGTGAAACAGGCGGTGATAGACGACTGGATTGAGGCTTATGTGACAGACAGAGACTCGTCTCTCCTCGATCTCATCAGCTTCTTCATCCAGTGCTGTGGATGCAAAGGTGAGCACACACATATACACACACACCACACTTGCGCACACACACGCAAAACAAACTTTCATGTCTCTGTTTCCCTTCTGTCTTCATCAGGTGTGGTCACTGCAGAGATGTGTCAGAGCAAAGAGGACCGTGATGTGCTGAGCAAGATGGTGGAGGAGCTGGACGAGGTGTGACGTCTTAAATCTGCCTCAACGACATCTTGAAACCGTCACACACTCTGATCTGACACTGTGTGTGTGTGTGTGTGTGTGTGTGTGTGTGTGTGTGTGTGTGTGTGTGTGTGTGTGTGTGTGTGTGTGTGTTTCAG